TTAGATGTGAGTCGTTGGAAGTCCGAAGTGTGGTTATGGGAGATTTCACCGTCAAGTTTCGGGTTAGATCGAAGGCAGATGGGTTTAATTGGGCACTGGTGGCGGTATATGGCGCCGCACAGCCAGAACTCAAACCAGACTTTTTGGCGAATCTTGTCCGTATTTGCGGTTTTGAGCAGCTTCCAATCTTGGTTGGGGGCGACTTTAACATTATTAAAAGGAGAGAGGAAAAAACAATGATAACTTTGATGGCAGGTGGTCGTTTATGTTTAATACCATTATTGAGAGCTTGGATTTGAGAGAGATAAAGCTTTCGGGTAGAAAATTCACTTGGGCTAATACTTTGCCAAACCCGACGTTTGAGAAGCTGGATCGAGTCCTCGCGAGCGTCGACTGGGAGCAGAAATTTCCCCTGGTAACAGTCCAAGCGTTATCGTGCGCGATCTCCAACCACACCCCTTTGCTGGTTGACTGGTGAGGCAACACATGTGGGGAATAAAAATACCTTTTCTTTCGAATTAGCGTGGTTTGAAAGAGAAGGTTTCTTGGATCTGATAGACAGGGAATGGGCTAAAGATGCAGGAGGGAGGACTTCTATTGAAAGATGGCAGAATAAGATAAGGCACTTAAGAAGTTTCTTACGTGGGTGGGCTAAGCATCTTAGTGGAATTTATAAGGTTGAAAAGGAAAGGCTCCTTTCACTTATTCAGTCCCTAGATTTAAAAGCCGAGTCCATAATTCTAGAGACCACGGAGCTACATGCTAAAGTAGATGCGGAGATGAGATTGAAAGAACTCCTGCGAGAGGAGGAATTGAAGTGGGCATTGCGAGCTAAGGTTCGCAAAGTTGTCCAAGGGGACGCCAACACTCAATCCTTTCATATGATTGCCAATGGCAAACACCAAAAGAAAAGAATCTTTCAACTTGAGCAAGATGAGGGGACGATTTTAGGACAGTAAAACCTAAAATTATACATAACCAATTACTACAAGCAGCTCTTTGGGCCTCCGGAGGATAATTTCGTGTCCTTGGATGAGTCGAGGATTGAGGATGTTCCTCAACTTGCTGCGGATGAGAACGATATTTTAACAGCCCCATTTTCGGAGAAAGAGGTGTTTGAAGCTATTTCACAGATAAAGAATAATAAAGCTCCGGGGCCGAATGGATTTCCGGCAGAGTTTTATAAAAAGTGTTGGCATATTATTAAAGGGGATTTGATACCGATGTTCCATGATTTATTCTCTAGACAGCTTCGGTTGTTTCATCTGAATTTTGGAATGATAACTTTGCTTCTTAAGAAAACAGAGGCTGTGAGAATTGAGCAGTTCAGGCCGATCTGTCTTCTTAACATAAGTTTGAAAATTTTCACCAAGGTTGGGACTAATAGACTTACGCAGATTGTGCACCCTGTGGTGTAGCCGTCCCAAACTGCTTTCATGCCGGACAGAAACATCGTAGAACGGGTTGTGGTCCTTGATAAAACGCTCCATGAAATTCGTACGAAAAAACTAGACGGGGTTGTTTTTAAAGTGGATTCCGAAAAATCGTACGATAAAGTCAAATGGTCGTTTCTTCAACAGGCCTTACGTATGAAAGGTTTTGATTAGGCCTGGAGACACCAGGTAGAATCTTTCACACAAAAAGGGAGTGTTGGAATTAAAGTGAATGACGACATAGGCCACTACTTCCAAACACATAAGGGCCCGAGACAAGGAGATCTGATGTCACCTATTTTGTTCAACATTGTAGTAGACATGTTGACTATTCTAATAGGAAGGTCTAAGGATGCTGGTCAAGTAGGTGGCCTGGTTCCTCATCTAGTTGATGGAGGTGTGTCTATCCTATAGTACGCCGATGATACTATCATCTTCATGGAGCATGACTTGGCAAAAGCAAGAAACATGAAGCTGGTGTCATCCTTATTCGAACAATTGACCGGGTTAAAGATTAACTTCCATAAAAGCGAATTGTTCTGTTTTGGAAGAGCTAATGAGGAACAAGATGCTTACAAACAATTGTTCGGGTGCGAATTGGGGGCTTTACCTTTCACATATTTGGATATACCAATTCACCATCGTAAGCTGACAAACAAAGAATGGAAGTGCATTGAGAATCGATTTGAGAAGAAACTGAGCTGCTGGAAGGGCAAGCTGATGTCATACGGTGGCCGATTAATTCTCATTAATTCAGTTCTCACGAGTATGCCCATGTTTCTCTTGTCCTTTTTTGAGGTACCAGTTGGAGTTCGGGAAAGGCTGGACTTCTATCGTTCCCACTTCTTCTGGCAGAGTGATCAACTTAAGCAAAAATACAGACTCGCTAAACAAGGGGGTCTAGGTATCAAAAATCTTGAGGTGAAGAACAAATGTCTTCTCAACAAGTGGCTGTATAAGTTATCTGTAGAGACGGAGGCCACATGGGCGCAGATTCTGCATAATAAGTACCTTCACTCCAAAACTTTGTCCCAGGTGACAGTGAGGCCGACGGACTCGCCTTTTTGGAAAGGACTGATGAGAGTTAAATCAGTTTTTTTTCAATAGGACAAAGTTTATAGTCGGAAACGGTACCTCTACGAGATTCTGGGAGGATACATGGCTAGGGGAAACAGCCCTCGCGCTTCAATATCCTTCACTTTATAGCATTGTTCAACGAAGAGGCGCTTACGTTGCGACAGTACTTCAGTCCACTCCTCTCAAATATTCACTTCAGGAGGACGCTAGCCGGAAACCGTTGGAAAGCCTGGCTCTATCTTGTGAGAAGATTGATGGATGTTCAGCTTTCTCAACGGCCCGACCAGTTGTGCTGGAAGCTAACTAGGAATGGAGAGTTTACGGTTAAATCCATGTATCTGGATGTTATCAACTCTAACTTTATTTCTAGTTCGAAACATGTTTGGAAAGTCAAAGTACCTTTGAAAGTGAAAGTGTTTATGTGGTTTGTACATAAACACGTCATTTTAACTAAGGACAACTTGGCAAAATGCAACTGAACTGGATCTACAAGATGTAGTTTTTGTGATCGGGATGAATCCATCAAACGCCTCTTTCTTGACTGCCCATTGGCAAAAAGATTATAGCGGACGGTTCAAATCGCCTTTAATATTACTCCTTCGAATACTATCAACACATTATTTGGGACGTGGCTTGATGGGACAGATTCGAAACAGCGAGACACATTCATGTAGGAGTACGTGCTTTATTATGGGCAGTCTGGAACTGCAGAAATAATTTGGTCTTTAACAGAACAATAAATATTCATTTTTTGCAGGTTATCTTCCAAGCCACTGCATTGATCCGTATGTGGTCGCTACTCACTCCGATGGAGACTAGGGAGTATATGGTTACTGAATCTATCCGATGGGAGATGGTAGCACGAGCTATTTTCAATCGGTTTGAATGGCGGTTATGTAATAGGATAGGCAATTAGTTTTCCTATCTTTCTATGCCAGCCGGTTGTGGCTTTACTTTTACTTTTCTGCTTTTTATGAGCATTTTTTTGTTCTTTTGTTTGAGACATCAAGACCTGTGTTGAACTTATTTGCTTTTTAATAAATGTGGATGTATACATCGTTCTGATGCAGAAGCCCAGGAGCTCCCCCTTTTAGAAAAAAAAATTAGGTATTTCCAAGTGTTGAGCTCCCCCTTTTCGAAAAAATAGGTATTTTCAAGTGTTGAGTGTGAGAGCTTCTTTTTAAAAATCTTGTCGTTTCTTTAATTCCAAATATTTTAGCATCCCAAAATTATGATATCCAAAGCAATTTATTGTGGGAGATCTTGAAAGGCAAGAAGAACTTCATCATAGATAGAGATGCATTTCATCCTGTTGAGAACGATAAAGTTCCATAAGCATTGAACCAAATCACAGTCCCAAAAAGATGCAATGTAGTTTCTTTGCTATTCTCATTACAGAAAACACAGTTGCAACAATCGCTATTCTCATTACAGAACACAGTTGCAACAATCAAGGTGCATGGATTTCCTCTTGAGCAGATTTCTTGTGTTTACTCTAATGTAACATGCAACAAGAGCCAAAAAAAAAACCTTGTATCTCAGCCTGACGGTGGAGCGTTAGCAACCATCGGTGGTAACTTAAGAGGTGGTGAGAGAGAATGGGGGTTGGACCCGCTCCAACTTGGGTTGCTAGAAATGGTCAATTCGATCGTTTCTCCACAACCAGGCCCATGTCTGCTTTAAGATTAGTGCAGGGCACAAATTCAGTGCAACCCTCTCGAAAGAGGCTCTCACCGTACTTTATAAATAAAGCAATCACCACGTCCATACATCAAGTTCAAGTGTAGCAAAGGAAAAAATAGAGTATACTGAATTCAGCGCAAACCAGACTGCCAAACAGGCCAAATTTGCATCCCAAGGCATGCATGAGCTGCATGCGACCAACCAAACACGTCATTATGTCAATTGGAAAGCAGGCCCAGGCTTTATATACGAACAAAAGCTAACTCGAGGCTCCCACTGGAGCTATGCATTGAGTTTGACAGGTGATGTATCTAATGTGAATTTATATTTTAAAATGTGGTCCAGTATTGTCACAGTTTCACCAACCTGGCAAAACCGTGACCTGTTCATGTTCCTTGAACTACTGAAGAAACAAGCTATCCAGTGATGCATTTAGCATTTACCGTTGACTGGTCCTGAGCCACAGATAGTAAAAAGAAGATTGTAATTCTAAGTCTATGTGTTTCTGATTATTTTTTTATGTTGGTCCTTGTGGAACGGTAAGCTCTTTCATGGTTGTTTATTCAAAAAAACCTGATACAAGACGCAGGAGACAAACTGATCAGAGTAAGATATTGTACGGACTCTCTCGAGTGACAAATTCTTCCTGAAGGTGTAACAAAATAATGACTATCACATTCACATTGGTTACAAAATGAATCAAACTCAGCTGAAAAAAAAATCGAACTGCACTTTCAACCCAACAATTTCGAGACAAGCAGCAAATTCCAGAGAAGGTAAGTTCACAGCAAAATGTAACACAACCCCTTACAGTGATTCGGTGCTGTCATCACTTTCTTCACACAAGGGTGCAGATTGGATTATAACCCGTGCTCCAGAAGCAAGCCTGTGATTATGATTTTTGTGTGTGTATGTCGTCAATCTCTAGAAACAGATAGACAACTAGGCCAACGAATAAGAATAATGAGAAGCAACTAACCTTTCTTCGATCTTGATCATTTTGTCCTTCTCCTCATGGAATGACTCTCCCCTTGATGAAGATAATTTACCTAGTGGGTCAGTCATCCTATTGCTTGCACCTCTTGATGAACCAAGTGGTGAGGATCCAGTACTACATTCTTGTTGACTAGAGCTGTACCTGACATCAGAGTTGGGGGAGAATGCTGTTCCACTTCTGGATTGCTTACATGATATCATTTTGATAGTCTGTGGGAGACATCTGAAACTACCCGACTCGGCCAAGCTTTCCATATCCCTTCTAGAGTCTGGCGCTCTATACACTCTGACATATTCAGAGGAGATGCTGAGTCAACACCAAAATATATCCAGAGATATTGAAAATACTAAACATATTTTCAAGGAAGGTACTGTATAGCAGGGTGACATAGCAACTAAAAACATGATAGTTCTTGCCATTCTAGGTAGTTAGGTAGGACACAATTTAGTGACTCACTGCAGTTACAAAGTGAAATGAGTTCTACTAATTGGTTGATTCTCTTATGATCTTCAAAACAAACATCATTTGATTCTATTTTAATCTTCTCTATCTCTAATATTGGACACTGTAATGCGAAAAGAAATGAATTGACCAAGTCTCTACGGGAGATCATAGAGTGGGATGTCCACTAAAACTCAGCGCCCTGCTCTTTGTTGTATCCTACCCCTTCTTGGGGATTTGTATTTCTTATTTTCTTTTCAGTCTTTTCAATATGTTGAGACGCAAGCTTTGCGTTTTCTCAAAAAAGAAAGCTCTACGAGAGATCATAAATGTCCAACATTAAGTGCGACTAACCAATGTGAGCCTCAGCTATCCAATAAGCAAAAAATAAAAGCTCGCTATCAAGACAATCATGCATCCAAGTCCATGGTGCCAACATGATAGCCCACAATGAGAACAATGTGTTGTGACATACCTATCCTCGTCGTAAGATGATGAGCGTTTGAGTGTGGGTATTTCTCCTCTCCCTGACTCTTCCTGCTTACTCTCCTCGACCAAGCTTTCACTACTTAAATGCTCTGACTCAGAAACTCTTATTCCAATTGTTCTTGTGCTACAAGGAACATTGTCAAGGTGCCGCAATGCCATAGGAGTAGAGAACATTGGAGAAGGGAATTCAACTTGAGTAAACCGTGGCCTGTATGTTGGGATGAGTCCAAAGCCACGGTGATCTTTCACAGAGATGGACCCACAGGTGATGAGCTGCATGAGCAAATTGGCTGGCTTCAGCTTCACACCCATTGGGCCATAGAGATGTTCTTCCTCTAGTACCTTATTATAGCTACTCCTCCTACTGGCCTCTGCCCTTATCAGGGACTCCAATGTCTCAACTCTGCCACCGGGAGAAGCATCAGATGAACACACCTGTGGTGATTCTCGAATAAGTAGAGGGACCTTTGGTGATGCTTGCGTGCTTCTTTCATGACACTCTTGAATTTCAGCATCTGATGCACAATCCTCTGTACGGATTCCTGCAGCGCGAGTATGTTTAGAAGGAACATCCCTCTCACTGTCATCGGTTTGTGTGGACGCGTCCTGTGCTCCGATGGGTTTGCAGACTCTGTACTCGGAAGGTCCAGGGGAGCTTGCCTCTGATAATGGAACGTTAGTTCCTACTGGTTCAGGGGACAGGTTCCCCGATGAGCCAGAATGTGTAGTCCTGCATTGCTCGTCCTCGCGGTTGGTGGAAGCAGATGATGATGGCACAAATGTGGAGTGCGCCAGCTGTTGTGGTTGCTGAGTAGGAGTTGGAGGTGAGGCCTCTTTGATAACAGCAGATGGGGATGGGGATGACGATGACGAGCACCCTTCTTGCGATCCTCGCGACTGAGGAGACTCTTGTTGAGGGTGCTTGGGACTCTCGGCCTTGGTGTTGCTAGGGCCATTCTGCTGCCGATCTGAAACAAGACAAGGTCAAGGAGAGCAAGATCTGATGAAGAACCCAAACAGAGTTGAGTTTATGAGTGCGACTTACCAGGCGGCGATCGGTCCAGGAGCTCGGAGCCCTTGAGGATGTACTCGTTGCCTTGTGCAGGGAGCACCAGATCGTCCTCGGAGATGTCGTGCCACACGAAGCCGTTTTTGTAGCTCCTGCGGGAAGCTACACGGATCAGCCCTGCCCTGCCCAGCCAAAGAGAGGAAAGTTGAAGCCTCGACAAGAGCAATCAATGGGTGTACGTACCTCTTGCAGGACCAGGAGTACATGGCCGCCATGCCCTTCCCTCGCAGCACGTTAAGGCGGTTAATCACATCTACGGCGCCATGAACAGGAATCGCATCAGGGGCCAAAGGTGAATTTGAAAGGGCGGGCGGGGCGGGGCGGTGCGTCTGTTGGCGGGCTCACCTCGCAGGTAGAGGCCGGCCTCCGGCGAGGCGAGCGGCACCTCGATGAAGTGGGGATGCTCCAGGTGGCGGCTGCGGCAGAGGTAGTAGACGACCGCCACCCTCTTCCCCGCGGCCGCGGGCGGGGCCGGCGGAGGCGAGCGGCGCGGAGGGTGGTGCTGGCTCTTGCCCGGCGGCTCGACCCAGACCTTGTTGCGGCCAGGGCTCGCGCTGGTGCCGGTGCCGGTGCCCCGCCGCCGCGCCCTCCCCTCCATCCTTCCTTGTCGCGGCGGCTGCTGGTTCTGAAACAGTCGGGGAGCGGAGCAGCAAAGTGGCCGCGCAGCCGGATCAAATCAGACCGCGGCAGGTCCTGGACATGGCAAGGGGCGGAGGGAGCTCATTAATGGCCGCAGCTCGAGGTGGTGCGGTGGTGGTGGCAGCAGCAGCAGTGAGTTAGGTTGAGTCGGGGAGTGTTGGTCTGATGGAGATGGGAGACGGCAAGGGGAGAGATCAAATCAAATCAAACAGGGGTTTTGACCATCCATCCAAGCAGAGGAGAGAAGAGGCAATAATGCATCACTGTTTGTGTTTGGATTAACGGTCCATGTGTCTGCTCGGCCCCAAGTATCTCTACTCTTATAAAAACAGAGTTAATGATAATGGTGTTTCTGTCATCCTGTGATATAAGTCATCCGATTTATATTTGAGGGATAGGAAGAAAACTATGACAATTTTATAAAAATATATCCATACCCTTCTCCACATTCGTAAATAAAGCATTCCCTTGTTCAGTGGCGGAGCTTCCTTAGGGCCAACCTGGGCCATGGCCCCCCCTGCTTGTGTAGATTTCTTATATTATTAGCACATAGTTAGACAGGAATGATGGTGTTTTGCCCAATCTTTGATTGAATAGCCCCTCCTACATGGATTAGTCCCTCCTATAATTCTGATCAAGCTCCGCCACTGCCCTTGTTTATTCTTTTCTCTCATAATAAGATAAACTACGTATACAAATGCATGTTAATGTTCCGTACAACGCATAGGCATCTTGCTAGTCAATAATTAATTTCTTCTTTTGTTTCTAAATAAACATTATACGTACTCAACACTGAGCATCTTTGACGCCCAAAAGTTCTAAAAATAATTAAATTTAACTGTCCTTTTTGAATTTTCTCTTCATCAGCGCTGAGCGCATATTAGCCTGGGCACAGACGCAAATTACCATGAACTTGTGAGGTTTGTTTATTTATTTATTTATTAGGTTTCAGGAGAGAGAAGGCCAGATCACGAAATGAGATGCGAGGGATCTAGAGTGCACAGTAGCAGCAGTGTTTGATTTCTCTTTTTGATTGCCTTTTTGGCAGCTCATGCTCCTCCTGTTCTGCCCGCCCTACCTTGCTCTCACTTTTTTTTGAGCTGACCTACCTTGCTCTCACTCTCCACCGCAAGAGGAATTATTCATTCTACCAGCCTTGTCCACGTTGGCAGATTTATAACAGGACACGAAGTATATTTAGGGCACAGGACATAAAAAAACCCGCTCCAACAGCAGCCCAATAACACGAAAAATTTAGGCTGCCTTAAAAAATGGCTCAGAGCATCTCCAACCGCCGCGCTAAGCGCCGCGCGCAAAAAACCTGTTTGCCGCGCGCGCTTCGGCTGGTTTAGCGCGCCCGCCTGCGCTGGCTCCAGCAGCCGCGCTATAATGCAGCGCGTGCGCGCCGCTCCAGCAAAGCGCAAAAATACAGCGCGCGCGCCGCACAAACCACGTATACATGTATTATGAGCAAAAATGATCAAACAAACAAAATAAATCAACAATAAATAGTTCAATTTTGTTATCATTACAACTCAAACAAATAGTTTATCGTTCAGTACAACAAATGCAATAAACACAACAAATAGTTCATGAACAATACAATGTCGAATGCAGATATCATCATGCTTTTTGTCGTCCATGCCATGCCCACCACTCTTCAATCAAATCATTCTGAAGTTCATTGTGCGTTGCGGGACGCCGAATGGCATGATAGGAGGCAATAAAACGGGCTACCCTTTCAGCCCTCCGTCGCACTCGCACGGGATATCCCAAAAGCTCATACTGTGAGTAGTCTAAATCTTGGCCACGCTCATTCTCGATGATCATGTTGTGCATGACCACACAAGCGTGCATGATGTACCAAAGCATTTTTTGATCCCAAAACCTAGTCGGTCCTCTCACAATAGCAAATTGGGCTTGCAAAATTCCAAATGCTCTCTCCACATCTTTTCTAGCCGCCGCATGAGCATTGTGGAAGTCAAGATTTTTCTTACCTTCCAGCTTTTTCAACTGCTTCACGAAGGTTTGCCACTTTGGATAGATGTCATCCGCTAGATAATAGCCATAGTTGTACGTACGGCCATTTGCTACAAACTGCACCGGTGGCAACTCACCGTTTGCAATCTTATTCATCAGTGGTGACCGGTTGACAACATTGATGTCATTCAAAGATCCAGGCATTCCAAAGCATGCATGCCAAATCCAAGTCTCCTGATCGGCCACCGCTTCAAGGATTATAGTGGAACCCTTTTTTTGGCCGTGGAATTGCCCATGCCATGCCTTTGGACAATTCTTCCAACTCCAATGCATGCAATCTATTGAGCCAAGCATGCCAGGAAAACCGCGAGCTTTGTCCATTAGGAGATCTCAAATACTCCTCGCCAAACACTTGCACAATTCCCACTGCAAAGCGTTTGACACACATGATGGCTTGGCTCTCATCCATAGCCAAGTGATCATCAACAAGATCAGCCGGTATACCGTATGCCAACATACGCAAAGCGGCTGTCACCTTCTGAAAGGTGCTATGCCCGAGCTCTCCGGCGGCATTCCTCCTTTGCTGAAAAAAACGGTCATGGCTCGCTAGTTTCTCTGCAATGCGCCTGAACAACTCGGTGCTCATCCTAAACCGGCGACGAAAATACGACTCGGGGTATATGGGATTCTCCGCAAAATAATGCCTGATCAATCTGTTGTGGGCATCGATCCTATCCCTCCAAATTTTCTGCCGACCCATAACTGAACCACTGTGCTTCGGTTCTTTTATATGCATAGCTAGGATCATTGCAAGATCCTCCTCCTCTTCCATATCAAATTCTTCTTCGGAAGAATCATACGACGAACTCATCTACAATGTTCAATACTATACTATAAAAACTACAATTCAAAACATGCATCAAATTCATGAAGTTTGAGCAATACATACCTTGTAGGCGTTTTGTCAAACACCTTGTGGGCGCGGCGCGGCAGCGAGCGCTCGGGCGCTGTTCATCGGACGACGGAGGCGCGCGAGCGCCGGCGGGACTAGGAGGGGATGGGGCGGAAGCGCGGGCGCGCGGGGATAGGTCGGGGAAGCCTGAACGGTCGCCGGGGGGTGCGGGCGGCGGCGGCGGAAGTGGGAGAGGAAGTGCGGGCGCGAGCGCTGGAGTGTGCCGCACGCTGCAGCGGGCGCCCGAAATACACCACGCGGCTAAGTGTTTTCGACCGCGCGCCCAACCCATTATAGCGCGCACGCCGTTTTTGCACGCCCGCTGGAGCGACCCGCCGCGTTGCGCGCGCTAAAACGGCCTAATTTGCGGTGCGGTGCTAGTTTAGCGCGGCTGTTGGAGATGCTCTCAGCGTGCGGCAGTCGCGCTGCTGCGGCAAAATCGCGGGCGTACATCAAACCCTCATTGTGCGGCTGTTTCCCGCACCAGCCGAAAACCGGCGGATTCGCCGCCGGCCGGCCGCCACGCGCCTTGGCCGGTGCCTCCGACCCCGTCGTCGACCACGACACTTGCCGCCGCTTTCGTGCTCCTTTTCATGGCCCGCGGAGGCCTTGCCACCGCCGCTCCCATGCTGTCGTATTTCGGGTTTCGGCAGACCCTTGAGTTTCGAACACTGGGGTGCACGCGAAGATCTCTTCCCTAGCGATCTATGTCCAATCTCCTCACGTGATCTAAGCTGGAAACAACGAACAACACAAGGGACACGAGGTTTATACTGGCTCGGGCCACCGTTGTGGTGTAATACCCTACTCCAGTGTGTGGTGTGGTGGATTGCCTCAGGGGCTGATGATGAACAGTACAAGGGAAGAACAGCCTCGCGAGAGGTGTTCTTGAGCTGGTGCGATGAACTACTAGGGTGAGTTCAGTCGTCTCTCTCTCTCTGCTAGGGTTCTACCAGATCTCTCTCTGTCTCTCTCTCTGTTTCTCTCTCTTTTTCGGTCCCTCCTTCGGTTGTTTCTTACTCTGTGGTGGCTAGCTCTATTTATAGAAGCCCTGGACCTCTCCCCAAACAATGAGCAGGAAGGGCGCCAACAATTGGCCATTTTGAAGGAGAACATCTAGTACAAGTTATCCTGACCAAAGGTGCTCTTCGGCTGCCAAAAGCTCTGGTGATGACGCCGTCTTGGGCTCCACGGCGACCTCTGTCCTGCCGCTCTGTTAGTCTTGGTCTTGTTGCACCAGAATGGTAACCTTTGCCCGGTGCCTTGGCCTGTGCTTGCCCCCTTTGCACCAAAGGGGAAACAAGGACACTGCGCAGGCCGGCGCCCGCCTGGTCTCGATCGTCATGGCTTGCGTCACGGGTTCCTCGCGAGGTACCCCTGCCTTGATCTCTCTGCCTCCTCGCGAGCCTGCCTGATGAGGCTGCCTCTGAGGAAGCTTTCTGTCGTCTGCCCCGCCAGGCTTGGCCCCTCGCGAGGGTCTTGAGCTTGAGCTGATGAAGATGGGCCGCGTTGGGCCCCCACTTGAGCCACACCGCAGGCCGCAGGCAGGCAAGTCTGGGGATCCCCATTCCCAGAACGCCGACAATGGCACCCGGGCCCAAGGCGCGCCTGTGCTTGGCCTAGCAGGGAAGCGAAGGGGCAAGCGCGAAGCGCCGCGGGCCCTAACAGCCTGTGGCCTTGGGCGCCGCATGGCAATTGATTGGACGTGGGCGTCTGTGCTTCCCCACGATGCCTCGGCAACCGCACGACTTGACATGTCCCTGCATGCAGAAAACCGGTCATGATTACCTGCGATCATGGTGCTTGACGGTTGGCCTCCTCCGACTATAAGTACGGGGATGCGCGAGTCCCTTCAGTCCATCCCTTGCTGCCGCTCCTTTCCTCCTTCTTCCTCGTTCTTGCTTCTCCTTATGCCAATGGCACCGATCCGCCGGTTTTCTGCAGAAGAGAAGGGAAAGGCCCCCCGAGAGGGTCCTGACCCACTTCCGCCGAAGAAACGGCTGGTCCTCTGCCACCGAGATGTGGGT